AAAAATTATTATTTTCAAAAAACCTGAACTTCCAAAAAACAACCTGCCAATGAAATATTTTCTTTTAGAATAATGAATGCAATAACACAATGTACTCATATATTGCTAACCTTTACTTATCCCAAATGTTTTTTAATAACTTATAACAGAAAGACGTTTTATCTACAGTATCAAAGCACAACAGCTCCTCACCAGAGAGGATTTACTTGAAAAGTTTGACTTAATCTGAATAAACCTTTATTTTTCTGAATTGGAAGTCTACCAAGAGGATAAAAATGAAGTTTCCATCTCAGAAGAAATAGAAACTGTGCACAGTAGTGATAACTCAGAAAATGAAACCGAAATGGCAATGTCTAAGTCTATTTGTCATACTGGAATTTTTCCGCCTGTTTTTCTCAGTTCTTTTGCTAAAAATGTGACTTTGGAAGAGCTAAAGTCCAAAATACAAGTTGATGGATTCTTCTGTCTTCCAATTTATTTTTTGTCAGCATGACAGAATGAACAGACCCTAGGTTTCTTAAAGTTTTGTTACATTCAATTTGTAACAAAAACAAAGAACCTTTTAAAGCAAGTTCAGTTAGTGAACATTATTACCTGACAAAATTATACTTTAATCTGTAATAAAGATACCAAATATGATAATATTATTATAGGTAGTTCTTGCTTAATGATTGTAATTGGCACCAGAATTTTGGTCGCTAAGTGATGCAGTCATAAAGCATGACATCACTTGACTGCACTGCTTGGCGATGGCAGTTCTGGCACTTCTGGTTGCCATCGTTGAGCAAATCTTGTGACTTCGTTAAGTGCAACGTCACATCACCATTTGCTACCTCCCGTTGGCTTCCCCATTGACTTTGCTTGTTGGAAGCTGGCAGTAAAGTCGCAAATGGTGATCACGTGACTGAAGTATGCTGCGACATCATAATTGTAAGCTGGGCCCCAAGCACCCAGATTGCGATCACATGATCTCAGGGATGCTGTGACAGCCGCAGCTACGAGGACTGGTCATAAGTACCACTTGTTCAGTGCTGTTGTAAGTTCGAATGCTTGCTGAAGAAGTGGTTGTTAAGCAAGGACTACCTGCATGTGTAAATCTATGCATGTATGTCTATGTATGTCTTAGTGTGGTATAGCGAACTTAGATCTGTGCTACAAAAATGTGCTACAAAAATGTGCTACAAAAATGAATATTTCATATTGTTCTGTTTTTATTAAAGATTTTTTTTTCTCCCATAGCTTCAAAATTTTACACCTCTATGTACGTAAAATAATTACAATGTCTGCAAAATATGTAGACTGGGACACTGTGCTTTAAAGTTCCGTTTTCAGAATAATGTCAGTGTGTTTTAGGCCACCACATTCATACAGTAATCTGGCATACATTCTTCTTTAGATGTTTTCAGAACAGAAGCAGGTTTTCTATCAAGTGATTTGTATTTGCCAGGATACAAGGTACATCTGAATTTCCATTTTCAACCAAAGAAAGGATTTTAGTGCATATGGCTTGAAAATTAAAAGGTTGATAATTAAACTATTTCAATATTGGTTAAAGTAGTATTCAGAAAAAGAATAATAGTATTTGTATTATTAGTTTGATTTGTTTACATTTGCATTATTTCCATTTCTAATTAAATATAAATGATGTAATAGTGAATGATCTTTGCCAGGATAATTTTAATTTAGAACTGGAAGCTGGTAGGAGTAGTCCTGGTCCTGAAGACTAAAGCTAATGGCTGAGAAGTACAGGAAACTCCCTTGTGATTCTGGTGAAATTTCAGGTAGAAAGCAGAGCCCAGCTCCAGAAAACTGCAATCAAAGGAACTTTACCAATTAGTTTACTTCTAAACAGAATCTTTCACTAGCCCCATCCATTTGAATGACACACTTTATTTCCTAATGTAAATATTTTCCTCAATAAATGTGTCTGGTGGTGATATCATTTTACACCTACTTCATAGGAACCTACTTCGTAGTATTTTTAAAATATTTTTTATTTTTTATTTATTTATTGGATTTATATAGCTGCTCAGTCTCACAAATGTTACTTCATAGGAACCTACTTCATAGTATTTTTAAAATATTTTTTATTTTTTATTTATTTATTGGATTTATATAGCTGCTCAGTCTCACAAATGTTACTTCATAGGAACCTACTTCATAGTATTTTTAAAATATTTTTTATTTTTTATTTATTTATTGGATTTATATAGCTGCTCAGTCTCACAAATGTTACTTCATAGGAACCTACTTCATAGTATTTTTAAAATATTTTTTATTTTTTATTTATTTATTGGATTTATATAGCTGCTCAGTCTCACAAATGTTACTTCATAGGAACCTACTTCATAGTATTTTTAAAATATTTTTTATTTTTTATTTATTTATTGGATTTATATAGCTGCTCAGTCTCACAAATGTTACTTCATAGGAACCTACTTCATAGTATTTTATTTTATTTTATTTTATTTTATTTTATTTTTTATTTATTTATTGGACTTATATAGCTGCCCAGTCTCACAAATGTGACTCTGGGTGGTGTACAATAAGCAACCAGTTAAAGCAATTAAAACAACAGTTAAACACAGTTAAACACAAATACAAATACAATTCAATACAATAGTAATACAAAGGGTTTGCTTGGTAGCCATGGTTGAAGGTTTTAGATGCAGAGCGCTGTTCCCTGATTGTGAAAGCTGTCTGAGAAATTGAATAATGTGGCAGGTAGTCCCATAAACATAAACCTCGGTGTTTTAAAGCAAGTAAGTAGATGGAATAGATACACTGTTTTGCCTTGTATATCACTTTCCACCTCCTCACAGCACACAAATATACAAAAATATTATTTTCCTTTTCTTTCTTCCTTTTTAATAGCATTCAGTTCAGAGGAAACTGAACATTTCAGATGTTCTTCTAGGCATTTACATTGCTAAGAATCATTGTATACTGAAGTAGAATAAGCCAGTGAAGTCATATCCATAAGCAAAGAATTAGAATGTGGGATGATATTTCTAGTGTAAATGTTATGGCTAATTCATTTAGAGGTAGTTTCAACGTAGCTAGCCTCAAACCATATTTAATGAATAACTATTAGAATACTTCAAATTGGGGGATCTTTTTCCTTTGCTATCAAAGAACTCTTAAGTTTTTTTTATTATTCTTGTAATAAAATATCTTTTTTTCCCTTCTTTTAGACAAATATCTCTTGGTGCCATAGCACATGGATTTCAGGACTGCATGTGAAGAGGTAGTGCACATCTTCCTAATTTAAGCATGCACACATATGCTAGGTTGCTTTAACTTGTTGATTCTCATGATCAATATTGTATGGATTATATGAATTATTAAATGGAGGCTTGCATATTTAAAGATTAAAAAAAAAAGTTATCAGCTTCACAGTCTGTGGAGGGGGAGGATTCTTCTTAATCTCCCATTCTTTGGTTGTTTTTGTGTTTACGATATCAAGCTTCTCACAGATGCAAAGATGATTTTAATATAGCTACATTTCACTTAATATATCTCCAATTATAACCATGTATAAGAAAACAATGAACCATTAAAAAAAACTTCTGTATGTGTTCATGGCACGTTATGCATGCATTGTTTTTATCCCTTTTAATTCCATGCTGACCATTGGACTATGAATGTGGTATGCAAAGCCTTTATTTCTCATTTTCTTTATCTAGCTCTTTCTACATTTGATCTCCTAATCTTCCACTTCCTGCATTTTCCAGATTCTAGTTATCATTAAGAACGAATGATAAATAATGCTGGAAAATAAAAAAAGTGTTAAATATGAGTAATAAAGATTTAATTTATTAGCATTAACCTAGATCTAAAGAATATGAGTTTTAATTGATATGAAGATCAATGATAGAATACATGGAGCCTACATAGTAAAGAAAATACATTGCTAGTGCCAGAAAAAAGCATATGGCCCCTCAGTACAAGATTAAAAATAATGAATTAGTTAAAGTGAATGAGTTCAATCTTACCCTAGTTAGTCTGCATGCCCTTATAAAAGGTGAAGGTGTTTCTAGAAAAACTCCCAATGAAGCTCTTAATAAACATGGAAGAAAAGAAGGTGTGTTAGAAGGAAAGAAAGTAATAGGGGAAGTTACAGGATAGCAATGAAGATGCATTAAGGTTGGAAGGTGTTCAAGATCCCATTCTCACTCAAAAATAATGTATACCTTTAAGAATAATTTGTTTTTCTTTAAAAAAAAACCTGTTAACTGCAGTGCTTTCATCATTTTAGTTAGCGAAAAGGAAAATAACAAGTTCTTGTAAAGTTCTCCAGTTCATCTCTTAGAAGTGGGTGAAATCAGAACATAGAGATCTCAAAAGAAATAGCAGATTATTTGCTAGTTGAATATTATTAGTTATACTGACCAGTAAGAAACAGCAGGCAATTGTGTCATGCTGTTTGACTTATCAGGCATTTTAAACCAAAAATCAGTCTATGAGACTCATCTGTGAATTCCCTCTATGAGGGTATAGAATAGTCTATATAAGTCTATATATACAGCTTTTTCTTAAACTCTCAGACCAGAGATACAGATATTATATTATGTTATGCCCTCATGTATGAGGTGCATGTAGAGAAATCCCCTTCTACCTCCAAGAAGGAACAGAACTCATATAAAACCTCATACCTGAGGGCATGATGTAATGTAACATCCATATCTCTCTGGTTTGAGCCCATAAGAAAAGGAAGTGGACTGTACAGACCATTCTAAAGGTAGGCTATTCAGATATTACAGATAGTTTTAAGTTAGCTAGCTACCATAAAAGGTGAGACGAGACTAAAGCCCAGGATGTGTTCTTCTAAACATCCCTGAAGTAGTGCACTATTGCAGTGCTGAAGAGCAGAATTGGGATGTTGATGATACTGATAATTAAAATGTGAAGGTCAAGCATCATGCATAATATATATTAGATCAGCATGAATTATTGAGATCTGAAAGAAATTAGAATTCTATTCATTCCAAAAATAAAAGCTCTCTTATTTATATACTTCAGTGCTTTTTAGCCAGAACTGGAATAATAGTTGAAGGATGTATTGTATAGCTGCATTGTACTGTAAAATAATACTAATAATACTCATATCACTGGATTGTGTTTACGTTTGCTGGCATGTATTTTGGTTTTGCTTTTCTTATGCTTGGTTTCCTTATTCATTCTTGCCTGTGTGCATCCCCTTTCTCACTCCTATTTTAATTTCATTGTGATGCTTAATTAGGCCTACTGTATAGTTAGATGCTATTTAATTCTTGCCCCTAGCTCTTTTCATAGAGCTTCTTGAGAGGTTTTATAGGGTAATCAGCCAGGATTGAAATATACAGTCAAGTAATACAAAATAACTATATAAAGTTTTTTTTCTTTTTCTTTTTTGAGAAATGTTATCTCAGGCAGTCATCAAATGAATTAGAAACTGTTCTTAGTTTTTGGGGGGTTTTTTAGATTTTTTTTTATCCTGCCTTCATTAGTTTTATAAATAACTCATGGCAGTGAACATACCTAATACTCCTTCCTCCTGTTTTCCCCACAACAACAACCCTGTGAGGTGAGTTGGGCTGAGAGAGTGACTGGCCCAAAGTCACCCGGCCGACTTTCATGCCTAAGGTGGAACTAGAACTCAAAGTCTCCTGGTTTCTAGGCTGGTGCCTTAACAACTAGACCCAACTGGCTCTCATATCTTCTTCCAAGATATGGATCAACAGATGTTTCTGCCATCCACCTAAACTTATTTGGTGGAGACTAACAGAATAAAAATATGACCCTTTAATTTTTCTTCCATCATTCCTTATTTTCTCTCTCCTGAAAGCCATAACTTATTCTCTAAGCTGCCATCATGAAGTTGAAATGCAAAGAAACAAGAAATTTTCTTGAACTCTATAAGGATGTGAAGAACCTGGGGGTCAGGCATGAAATTCTAAGATTGAAAGCATGTCATAGATTCTAGGTCTGGACACAATACTTAGACATGAGCTTGCTGGAATTGAGGAAAGTAAATATTTGTTCCAGTTGACTGACATATTGGCTCTAGGTTTTACAGCAGTCTTCCAGGGGTGTTGGACTACTGTTCCTAGTATTTACAGCCAATACAACTGAAGGCTGGTCTGGTTGAGGAAGGGTACCAGAGTCTAGAATGGGCTTAATAGGCTTACAAAACTTGTTCCCTGTTTCAAGAAACAATTAGCTTCCCTCTGCAGCTGGCAGCTCTCCAAAGAGATTGTAAGATATTGGCTATCTCTGTCTTGGGTAATAAAATTTTGAGGAATATCTGGATTTAGAATAACTATCCATGTGTCAGTACTACTTCAGAGATTTAAGAGAGGGAAAGGAGGCTGAAGCCAGAGATCACTGAATCCTTCAAACATATAAACTACCATTCAGGAAATCTAATGTGCACCTAAACTCCAGTGAAAGGAAGGAAAGAATCATCAAAATAATTCGCCAGATTATTTTCTTGTAAACAGAAGTTAGAAAAGCTTTGGCGTAGAAAATCTACAACCTATTGTACAACATTTCTAATGGCCATGGTGGCCTACTTTGGAATATTTTTTTCCAGAATGACAGCGGATTGATTTTAACTGATTAATCAATTCACAAATCTAGGCTATGGCCTGAAAAGCACTTGCAATGAATTTTTTGTTGTATGTTGAAGTGTTATTTACTGATTATAATAATAAAATAGAATGATCATGACTGGAACCTTTCATAGTGTTTCTGTGATCCCAGTTAAGGTCTTGGCTCTAAAGTAATTTCAATATTTTTAGTTAGATAAATCAAATGCTGTAACCTCAACATAAGGTTATCAAGTTGATACTCTGTGTCAGGTAATGCACAAGTTATATCTTATATGCATATGTAGTATGACACTGGGTACTAAAACATAAACCTTGGTATTGCAAAAGGTTAGTTTTGCTTATGAACACATTTTAGAGGTTTTAGTCCTTCATCCATGTACAATGTCAAGATACATATTTAAATGTTACTTAATGTCTGAGTTTCCAAACTGCTATTGGTAATTTTTGCCATACATCTGTTTCAATCATTTGATTTACTTCTTATAATTGGGAGGATTATTGGATATATTCAAGGATCATTTGAGATGTACTTTATGTTATTGAATATTCCAGTTTAAAAACTAAAGGAAACTATTTTTGATTCTTTAGTATAAATAGTACATAAACAATTTGACAACTAATTTTTTTTTTCTTCTGCCTTTTAAAGTCAAAGACAGGGATTTGTTTGCTACAGGATGGTAATCAGGAGCCTTTCAAAGTGCGGCTGCACTTAGCCAAAGATATTTTGACAATTCAAGAACAAGATGTCATCTGTGTGTCTGGCGAACCATTTTATTCTGGAGTAAGTAACATGCTTTTCAGTGGCTTTCAGATTAAAGCATATATATATATATATTGAGGTTTTCAGAGTTGTCTTTCACAGAGAAGCGTTATGTACTGTATTCAGAATGAATATTGTGCCTATAAAAAAAATACTACTCAGGCAGATAAATCAGGAAGATTTTCTGTTTCATTTATGCCTTTCTTCTGGAAAAAAGATCTCCTGATCTTTGGTTTCAGGCTCCCTTTTTCAGTTCTGACTAATGGCTTGCTCCATATCTTCTTCTTCACCTTAGATTGCTCCCTGCAATCTGATTCTGATGAGTGCAGATGGACAATATAAAAACAAGTTAATAGGGAAGTGACTTTCAGAATAAGCAGTCATTTCAAGGAGCTTTTGTAAGAATGAAATACTGTAATGAGGTAATAATTAAAAATGACTTTGCTTTAAGATTAAAAAAAGGTCAGAGAAAAAATAACTTAAAGACACACTGAACAGCACTTGATGATTGAGATTAAAAAGTTGATTGAGCAAGTAAAGATAAATAAGGAGGAGCCAGAAATTAGAAGTTAAATGTCTCTCTTCTAAATTTGGAGACCTCAAGTTGAAAAAGATTCAGGTTAATAGCTGAAATAAATGAAAAAGTTGAAGAAGATGAAAGGTACAACAAGAAAGGAAGAAAATAAGAAGAAAATAATGGCAGGAAAGGGCAGCTCTGAAGAGCAAATAGACAAGAGCTTTTCAAGAATGAATGATGCCTAAGCCAATATAGTAGGAACTATGGGAGGGAATTTATGTTATTTTTTAATTTTATAAATCAAATTTATAACACCACCCAACTCCCTCACAAGGAATGCCAAAAGAGTTGAGGTTGCAATGCTGTATATACTTATCTGAAAATAAGTCCTACTGAGTTTAATTCTGGATTTAATTCTGAGTAGTCATGTCTAAAATTGTGTTGCACATTAGCTAAAGAATAAGACAAGAACACATATTTATAATGGAAGAAACTGAAAATAAAGTGAGATTCTTACAAAGTCACTTAGGAATTCTGATGGATCAGACCTGAGGCCCATCTGGATTAGACCAAAGGTTTATCTAATGCAATATCCTGTTTTTTCCCACAGAAATCAGCTGAATACTTAGAGAATGCTCACATGCAGGAAACTGGTCTTCAAACTGGTCTTCAAAGGCCAGTATTCTCAGGAAGTTCACCATTATGACCAGTAACTATAGATGAATTTATCTCCATGCATTCATTTAATTTTCTTATAATGAAGAAACACATATGACTAGTGAATATCTACCAAAAGACAAGCCCCTGAAGTTCAACAGCTGGGCCTCACCCCTTTTTCCCAGAGGACAGGCCTTCTTTTTTGGAGGGGATATATACTTAAATATCTCACTGAACGTTTTGAATTCCAACTGAACAATTTATGCCGTTCCTTCAATACTTGCAGATTTGCAGAGAACTGGTAGACTCATCTTCACTAGATATGTGGAGACTAGTTAGGCATCTCTGATGCCTCACTGGGCCCCTTTCATCATTATGAAAATAAATGATGAATATATAAAGTGTAAGGTTTCTAGCATCAAAGAAAGAAATGACAAATGACACATAACACATACACACATACACAATGATGTTCTATATGTCATCTTTCTGGTAATGCTTACTATAGTTGTCTTAATTGACCTTTGAATGCTGTAAATTACTATGACTTCTGACCCTGTACTTCATGGTGCTGAGTCTCCATTTGTTTAACTGAAAAAGAATCTAAGATTTTTAAAAGATCACTAAGCCATAAACCTATCCTATTAGCAAATCATATCTGGTGTTACATATTAAACATTTCACAATTCCCCAATTACTTTTCTCTAAAAAGATAGAACTTCTATTACTTCTATTCTAGTTGACATTTAAATAATGACTTGACATACCTGGATAACATTTTTAATTTTCTCCATAGTGATGCATCCTGTCTTTTCAGAATGTTCTTGTAGAAGGCAATAGATGAAGTATTTCACTTGCTTAGCCCTGCTGAACATTATGCACAACATTATGTACAACTCATTAGCTAATTTACAGTATATCCATTGGATAATGGAATTTACTATTTTTACCAGAGAAATAGCTGCAGGTTTTTGTTTTTTCCTTAAGCTTTTATTACATGTCGGGGGTGGGTGGGGAAGAATAATTTAAACTTCACTGAGATACCTCTTCCAATGGCTTCCCAGTTTAGTTTTGTTCTGCTTTTTCTTTTTCCAATGAAGATAGTGTGGCCCCCGTCAGGTTAAATCTTCTGGGATATTCTGGCCGGGAAGGTCTTCATCATTCTGTACAGGACCACTCCCTTAAGGGAAATCAGAAAAAAAGGTGCTTTGGATTTCCCTATCCAAAGCCCAGAAGCAAATCTGATAACAAAGCAGAAATACCAGGGATAGCACTCCCACCATGCAGTTTTGCACATGGGGAAGTTTGAAGGAGAAATTTGCTTAAAATAAATCTCTGGATAGAAATGTATTGGGAAAGGGATATAGGAAGAGCTGGGGAAAGCAATGAGCACACACAGAATTCCAAACAAAATCTACAATGTTGGTCTAACTAAACAAGTCCCACAGACTTGGGCCCAGATCTTGGGCCCAGAAACATAGGCAAGGCTCACTGCAGTCAAAATGGCACCGCATTCAAGTTGGCTCCAAAGATACTGCTGGAGGATGGTTAACCTAGCTTCTTCCCCCTTATTTCTTCTGTCTTCTTTTTCCTGTTCAGCTATAGTTTAAATGTTTTGTAGAAGACAGAAGAAAACCCTAGCTTTTGGGGGGACATGTCAGTTGTTTGAACCAATCAGACAAAACACTCAGTTTCAGATTCCTGGGGGGAAAAAAAAAAAGCAGAAACTACAAAATAGGCTGTTGGGTCATATCAAAATATAGGAATTTGTCACACCTCTTTATATTCCTTTTTTCCCCTTTAGGATAGGATCCTAAAAAGCAAGAATGCACTCTTATTCTTATTAGTTGCCAACATAACACCTATTATTTGGCCACACACTGGTCAGGTTTGTGGATGATACTAAATTATTCAGTGTACAGTAGCAAAAACTAAAAATGACTATGAAAAGCTCCAGAAAGACTGTTTTAACTGGATGGATTTTAACTGGATGTATCTGGTTAATTATAACCAAATGGTAATTATCTATGGCTCTGTTTAAATAAGTCTAAAGTGATGCACATTGGGGTATAAAACCTAATTTTATATAATTGTCTCTAACTATCCAGGAAAAATAAAATAAGTCTGATGTGAAAAAAAAAAAAACACTTTTGAGTCATAGTGGAGAGCTCAATGAGGATGTTATCTAAGTGTGCGGCAGGTATGAAAAAGGAAAATCCATGCCAAGGATGATTAAAAATCAGATTGCAAATAGAACTGCAAGCATTGTATTGCCTTCATACAAATTGGTAGATATTCCATATTGGAACTATTTTGTATAGCTCTAGTTCCTGTGTTTGAAAAAAGGATACAGAATGAGAAATACAGAATATGTAATTTGTTTGAATAAGAAATACAGAACAGGCAAACAAAATGGTCAGGGAGCTTGAACATCTTCCTTATGAGAAAAGGCTAGAGCATTTGAGTTTCTTAGAAAATTGTGGACATGGTCAAGGTTTATAACATAATGGATAGTATGAAAATAGACGTATCTCAGAACACTAAGACAAGAGGTCAGTCAAGGAAGCTGCTTGGAAGATTTAAAAGAGACAGTGTTTTATATGTTCTTCACCCAGAATAGAATTAATCTGTGGTGATGGCTATTAATTTGGATAACTTTAAAGAGGATCAGCTAAATTCACAGAACACAGCTCTGTCATCTAGAAATGTCAGTATTACACTTGCACCGGGGAAAACTGCCTACAAATACCCACTACATGGGAACAATGTTGGAAGATAAGAGCCACTTTCTGTGAATTTGTTCAATTTCTTTTTAAATCAATATTAATGGTCAATGCCACAAGTTAATTATGCCTGTATACACCTGGTTAACCTTATGACAAACAAAATGTTGAATTTATGTAGGCTTTAACCTAATCCAGCAGGGCTATTCATGGGCTTTTATGCTGACTTAAAAAGAAACGCTTTGCAGGTCAGTGGAACATTTGAGAAGGCCTCATTTCTAATTACAGAGAATTAGATGTTGAAAAATGACTACATATATATCTTTGTGTTATATTTTTATAGCTGGATCATCTAGAATTCCAGAAAATAAATAAAATACAATAAAATAAATAAGTTAAGTACAGGTAGACCTCACCTAACGAGGATAATTGGGACTGGAGTTTCCATTGCTAATCAATGCAGTCGTAAAGCATGATGTCACATGACTGCATTGCTTAGCAGTGGCAATCCTGGCACTCCTGGCACTGCCCAAGTAAAGTCAGGGGAACCCAGCAGGAAGTTGCAAGTCCCAGGCTGCTCGCAAGCAGGCTGTGGGCAAGTAAGTGGCTGCTGATGGGTGCGGCAGGGTGTGGGAGGGGCCAGAGTGGCACAGCGCGAGCATGGTGGGCTTGGGGTGTCTGCTGCAGGTAGTGGGAGGGTATGCAAAGGGCTGGTGTGGTGCGAGCATGGCAGGCTTTTGGTGGCTGCTGCAAGGTGCACAAGGATGACAAGGGGCCAGCGAGGTGCTGTGTGAATCTGGCAGGGGTGGGGGTGGCTGCTGCCAGGTGGGGGAGACTTACCAGAGTGACTTGTGATCTTCCCTGCCCTGCCATTGACTTTGCTTGTGGGAAGCCAGCAGGGAAAGTTGCAAATGGCGTGACTGCAGGACACTGCAACTGTCGTAAGTGTGAGCTGGTGGCCAAGTGCTCAGATCACGATCACGTGACTGTGGGGCAGCTGGAATGGCCGGAACTTCAAGGACCAGTTGTAAGTATCACTTGTTCAAGTGCTGTCATAACTTCAAATGGTCACTGAATGAGTGGTTGTTAACCGAGGACTACCTGTATTTGTATCTTGCAATTCATGATTGACACTTTAGGTAAATATATTTTGCAATTTCATAATTATGATAATACATATATTATATGAAATTCAAAACTTCAGAGTGATTATGTAGCACCAAAGCCAAGAAGAGCCAATGCAGTGTGATTGTGGCTGATTTTAAGGAAATATTTAAAACTGAATCTGATTTCTTTTCAGGAAAGAACTGTAACAATTAGAAGACAAACTGTAGGAGGATTTGGATTAAGTATAAAGGTAGTATGGTATCCTTCCTGTTGTTTTATATATATGTGTGTCTCTGTGTGTATCAGGCATGGATTTTATCTTTTAGGGAATATGTTTAATAAGATCAATGGTTTTGATCTTATTTGTCCATTCAGTGTGCCATGAAAGCTTTTTTTAGAGATTTATTTACCTTTATAATAGGCAATCAGCTAAAACTGTGGCCTTTTCTTAAGTGGCACTTAAAATGTGTATTAATGCAAGCTGAATTAAAATAGCTGTCACATTACAGCCCATGAGCTAATCAACAATTCTGCATTAATTTCAAACTTGCTTGCTAATAAGACTGAAAATGTTATTATTTTTCCAGTATCAATTTCACTATAGGTAGATATATTAAATTATACAACTATCTTAGGAATAAAAAGAAAGGAAAATAAGTTGAGAATGCTATGCTTAAATATAAGGCATTGGGCATTTCCTTATTCTTTTGTTATAAACAAAATCATGTGTCATTATAAAATAGAGTGCTCCAAAAAATTAAGTTTTACTGTCCTTTAATGCAGTGAGTGATAAATATAAAGCATGAATTTATTCTCCCCTGAAATAATTACATAAAGCTTGAAAAAGGAAATGTATTACAGCTAGTCCTCGACTTACGACCGTTTGTTCAGTGAACATTCAAAATTATGACAGCACTGAATTAATGGTGGTTATGATTGGTCTTTGGAGTTCCAGCTGTGCCAGCACCCCCATGGTCACCCAATCACAATCTGGGTGCTTAGCAACCCATTTGCACTTACAATCGGTTGTCAAGCACCCCGCAATCACATGATCACCATTTGTAACCTTCCATGCTGGCTTCCCCAGAAAGTCAAAAGGGAAGCCAGCAGGGAAGATCACAAGTTGCTGTGGTAGGTTTCCCCCTCCCACGTGCCCTCCCTCAGCCCCTCTGCACTCGTGCCACGCTGGCCACTCACACACCCTTGTGCACCCTCCCTGACTGGCACTGCATCCCCATGCACTCTCCCCCATGCCCCTGCCCATCCTCTCGCTCCTTCCCCCACCTGGCAACAGCACTTACCTGCCTGCGGGCCTGGGACTTGCAACTTCCTGCTGGTTTCCCCACTGTCTTTGGTTATGGGAAGCCAGCAGGCAGTTGCTTCGGCTAACAACCATGGGATTCAGTTAATGATGGCAATTGGGACTGCAGGGATTGCTGTTGCTAAGTGATGCAGTTGTGCTTTATGACTGCATCTCTTAGTGTCAGAAATTCCAGTCCTAATTGCCATCATAAGTTGACGACTACCTGTAATAGGTTGTTCTCTAATGCTTTTCATATTTACGTTTCTTTACTAAAAGTTACAGTCAAAACATCAATATTTGCTGGTGTTTCTAGCAAATTAAAAAAAAAATCACATTCTGAGGGAATTAGGTTTTGTAGTTGCCTTGTTTCTGCTTCTTGAGTTATTCTAATAATTTTTCAAACCTAAATGTGAATAGCTGGCTATCTCAAAATGGAAGCTAAAGGTCTGATGCAAAAGGTGCACAGATTTCGTTGCACTCTTGTCACACTTTGGAACTGGCCATAATTCTGAAGACTTATTATTCAAGTGTTACTTTTGTTCATTCAATCCAACACACAAGAAATGGCAAACAGCTCCTTCTCTTTTGTGTACCTTCAGTGTGAGATGATAGCAACACTGGTGACATCACAAAGAGCTGGTCTCCATGCATTTAGTGTGATTCTCTGCAGAAGAGAACTTTGATGTATGAATGAATGCTTTCACCATAAGAGTTCCAGTTCACATGGAAATAATAAGGCTTCTCCCTGCAGATGACAGCATTTTAAGCATGAAGATTGTACCTTCATTCATACCATTAGTATGATGAGACATAGGGAGGAGCTGTTTTAAGCTGTTTGCATGCCACACTGAATGTGCAAAGACAATGACTGAATGGGCTTATCTCATTAACCTCTCTCTTCTTCCTCCTGTCATGCCTCAGAATAACATTCCCCAACTCCTAGAAATGCATCTTCTTCCTGCCTTCAGAATTAACTCAATGGCCCCTCCTCTGAAGGTGTCCATCAAATCCTAGGTTTTTTAAAGTTAGAAACAATTCATTTATCTTGGCTTTTGATACTGCTGTCTTGATCGTTGCTTTGAGCTTCCGCTTAACTCATGTTATCATTTTAAGATTCTGTGTTATCAAAGTTGGTTTAATCAAACTATACCAGCAATTCTAAATCTGTTTTTCTAAAGAGGTAGATAGTGTTCATGTTCAGAGCAATCTCTAATACAAAGAAATTCAGGTGAATGTTGTAGATTTGATTACATATTGGATGTGATCCACACAAGATAGTTCTATTTTTACACATAAAAAAAAAATCTCAAGAAGCCAATAAATATTTAGACAAAAAAATGTTTTATTAAATAACCCCCAAAGGTGCTATGCTTGAATAATGCATTTTTGGTGTTGAAAAGCCAAACCAGGCTGTTTAAAAAATGAATCAATTTACACTTTCAAAGCCTCTGTCCCTCGCTCCTTTTCTTTCTATATGTATAAATGCACTGTTTAAAAACAAAGTAATGTGACTTCAGTATATTCTGCTTTTCATTTCTTTTTTTACCCCTCAATGTGAAACAGTCATTTGTTATCTTTCAGTTATTTTCTTTTGTTCCAGATTTCCTATTCATTTTTCTTACTGACTTTTGTACATGTAAGAATGGAAAACAGAAAATCTAAAATAATCAAGGCAAGCTTGGTTTGCATTCCATTTAATCTCGCATCCAAAAGTGTTGCCTTCCGTTGAATGCTTTTGTTTGTCTGTGCCTTGCCAGCAGGACAAGAAAATGTTCACAGCATCACCCCCGTTTCAGAATTAGGCCCATTTGCTTTTCATAAAGTGGATTTGATACCATAATATGAAAAATCTGGAGAAACCTGTAGTGAGTTTTCATTCCTTTGTCAACAATTCCTCATTTTTTTTGTATATGTGCAACTCTCTTGATATTGCCAACAATTTTTTTCCTCCTTGACAAAAGGACTTATTAACAAAAAGAACCATGAAAACAGATATTTTACTCATTCTGATTTTTTTTAAAAAAGAAGCTAAAACTAAAGAAATGTAATTATACAGTATTTATAACTTAACAGTAGACTCAATGAAGTATGATCTCTTTATCTCATAGGGAGGAGCAGAGCACAATATTCCTGTGGTTGTTTCTAAAATTTCCAAAGAACAACGGGGTAAGTTGTTATTCAGTATCTTTAATATAATTAATGATGTGTTTATTTTTTTTGCATGGATTCACAGTCTATTTGTTGGGGGAGGGAATTTCATTATAAATGTGACCACAACATTTTTAATGGCAGGAGATTTCTCTTCATTCATTCATTTATTCATTAACTCATTCATTCATTCATTCATTCATTCATTTTCAATTTGTATGGCTGCCTACTCACCAGGGCTAAAAGCTCTAGAATTCAAAAAAGAAAACAATAAAATAATAACATAGACCAGTCCAGAGACAAAACACACACACAAAATTAAAATGGATTTATATAATATTCTGGGTCAGCTCCTGGGAGATGAACCAGTTCTTCAAGGTCTTCTTCAGGGCTGGTGAGATCAAGGCCATCTGAATTTTAGGGAATACATGATCCACAGAGCAGCTATCATGACAAAGAACACCATCTGGATCCCATCAGATCAGACACCATTTAATTGCTGGGACCTGGAGTATCTGAAGTCTTTGCGATTTTGTAGGATAGACAGAGATAACTGGAGATAGTCCCCCTTTTATTGTCTGCCGCATTTCTTGGTTTGTGAACATGTAAGCTTAGATTGTTGTTTTAGATTTTTTTAGGGAAATCAATTAAAGCACTGTGTTTGGCTATGGGATAAAACTGCACTTTTTTTTCCAATCATTTTTCATTGTTCTGTTTACATACTGTCCCACTGATGCTGCCAATGGAAAATTATAGAGAAGGCTGAAATGAAAAAAGTGTCCTTCCTTCTTTTCTCCTTGTCTTCCTTCCTTCCTTCCTTCCTTCCTTCCTTCCTTCCTTCCTTCCTTCCTTCCTCTTCGTTTCCTCATTCTTTCTGTCAGCGGAACTCTCAGGCCTACTGTTCATAGGAGATGCAATTCTACAGGTAGGCAAACAGATTTTTTTTGTCAGATCTTATTTATTTATTCCTCCTGCATGCAAAGCAATTTCCTCAAATTATTATTTCTTCCTCAACAGATTAATGGAATTAATGTAAGAAAATGCAGGCATGAAGAAGTGGTGAGCTTTTATAACCTTTTCTAACCCATTCCAGTTTCTAATGTAACTTAATGCAGCTGCACTTTTATTAAAGTGTTCATTATGCTTCTAAGTAATTTAACGCTTTTCTCTGAGGTTGTTAAATGATTATAATATTATAATATTTGGATAGTGTACCTTCTTCACTGATGTGACATCAGTCATATTATATTCAGATTTTGCCATTGATTCTTTTTTTTATTTTTCTCCTGTATTGGAGGGATTTTGTAGGCACAAAGTTGTGAGAAAACATTGACTTTTGCCAGTGCATTTTTCCCATTTTTTTTTTAAATTAGCAGTGAAAATTCTTTTGTTAAACCTATTTACTTTAAATCCTCCAGAACAGGAGAAAATGTCATTTTTCTGTCACCTGTAACAGTTGAGACTATTTCCTTTTTGCCTAGTCTGAGAATCTGTGTAGGCTTGGAATATTGCAAGTGAAAACTAAACCCTCCTGTTTTCTCTTATAGGTCTCACTTTAATAAAACAAATGACAGTGTTACTTATAGGATAGCAATTTATTTTGAAGGTTTTTTAAAGTGTTATTTTAGACCTTAAGGCTTTACAAGGACGTTGAAGCTCTTTCCTGGAAAAATAAATAGTGTTTAATAAGTTAATTACAGGCATAAAATACATATAAAAGTCACAACCTTGATGTGAAGATAAAGGAACCTTTTCACTTTTGCACCTCATTATACCTGTTATTGGAACTGGAAGTAAAATTCTTACTTGTGCTAATAGGAACCTTTCTTCAGTGTAAATAGCTGGTATGAAGGCCCAGGTCTGGTCCAGATTGTTATTATAACGGGAGATAAAATGTTAAAGTCTCTCTTATCCCACCAAAGTATTGATCCATGCCAGATGACTTGTTCTTGTTACTGAGTTTTACTTGCCTGTGGGGCTTCTATTTTAGCTAGCTACGTAAAAAAAAAAAAAAAAGGCGGGGGGAGTATAACCAAAGAATTTAAGACTGTGTTCAGGAGTGGGAGGCAACTTTTTTCAGTCAGGGACCACACATTTTAAAAATAAAGTTGACAGAAGACTACAGGACACAGTGAAATTATAGGAATGATTTTTTTTCTTAATGTTTAACTTTCTCTTGCTGGTTGTTGGGTTCCAAGTTACATACAACATATATGCATATATTTGTATATGTGTATAAAAATATACATAAACATATACATATTTATGTGCATATATATTTATATAAACCCCCAATAAGTACATGAGGCCACACAGTGACTTCCTACACCCATTTTGCTCCTTTGGAAGCACTAGAAGAAGTAGAAGCAGCCTGCAATGTATCATATCACCCCACTACATAAACTGGGGACAGTTGGCCACCTGCCCTTGCTTTATGATCAGGATGTAAAGGACTTAACTATTTCTTTAGATAAACTGTGAGAGGATTCTAATTAAGTTATGGTACAAACCACAGACCAAGAGACTGAATACTTTTCTTTGATATTTACACAATGTTAGTTTGTGATATAAAACATATACTTCTACTGTGTATATAATAATATACAAATAATCTGTCTGTGTCTAATTATAAGTGATAATAGTATAGTGATAAGTGAAAAAGTGACAATATTCAACAGTTATAAGTTTCCTTTTTCCCCTGTGTTTCGTTAAATGCCCACCTTTCACAAAAATAAAGGCAATCTTTTTCAAGCCTTGTAATTGCTCCCTTTACTGAGTTGCTCCTCTAGCTCTCAGTCCTTCTCAGTTCATAGGACAGAGAAGACAATTACTTGTTGCTGGCTGGATCTGGTTTGCATCTTTGGAAGGCTTGTGAGGCCGTAAGGCTCTGCTACTCCCCCTGCACCCCAGTAGTAGCTTCTGAGGTTTGTTGCTCACTCTACCAACTGTTTTGGTCTCACCTCCTTCGCTCATGACTAGCTGCTGTAGCTCTCCAAGGCACACTCCTTTCTCTTTTCCAACAACACTGATGCTTTTCAGCATTCCTCCTTTATCTTCCTGCAGTACAGGTGTGGTCCTTTGCTCTCAGAAAGTCCCAGGAAACAATCCATAAGGAAGGAACACACTTCATAAGGAAGGAAAACTCAGGTAGCAACGTTAAGTCTTTCCTTCCAGATTCCTCCCCCTTTTATTGAGGGTCCCTGTACCCATCCAGCTTTTGTCCTCATTAGCTGCTTGACATGAGGCTTGTGGTTCTATACTCACTCCATAACAGGATAAGTAGTCTGCTAGGATGTTCCACTTTCCAGCTTGATGTTGAATGGTAAACATATATAGTTGTAACAGTAGGTACCATCTCGTAATCCTTGGGTTATTATTGTTCATTTGGTGGATCCCTATGAGTGGCTGATGGTTGGTGATGACTTGGAAATCTTGTCCCCATAAATAGGCTTTAAGCTCTTCAATAGCCCATTGTAGTGCTAAGGCTTCTTTTTTGATGCTATTATAAGTTTGCTATCATGGTGCCAATTTCTTGACCAAGTATATGACAAGATGATCTCCATTGTCATAGATCTGTACTGGGTCTGCTCCTAGTCCCACTCCAGATGCATCTAGGTAAACTATGAAGGGTTGAAGTTGATTCCACATAGGCCAAGCTTGTGGCAAAATGCATTTTTCAAGTCCTTAAATGTGCTTGTTCACATTTAGGAGTCCATTACACCTTTTTGGGTTCTGTCTTCCATGTAAGGTCTGTTAGAGCTTGAGCTCAGGTAGCAAAAAGGAAGATAAACCTACCATAATAGCTTACCAAACCTAAAAATGACTTGTCTTGCTTTTTGGTTTGAGGCCTATTTTCTCTACCTTTTCTGTATTTGGTTTAGTATCCCGTCTCCTACTATGTATCCTAAATACTGTTCTAAATAATAAAGTATCCTAAATACCTAATCTCTGTAAATCCCAATTGATATTTCTCAGGGTTTATAGTCTGACCTACTTCTTTTAAGCATGTCATGACTTTCTCCAAATGTTGTAAATGGCCCTCCCAGCTCAAGCTCTTACAGACTTTACATGGAAGTAATCTACATATGCTTCACACCAACTACCTCATCCTGGACCTATTCTATTCATAACCCTTTGGAAGGTTGTGGTGCCCCATATAAACCAAAAGGCATTTTTGTAAATTAAAAAAGACCCTGAAGGGTAGCAAGTGCCATTTTTTCTCTGGATTCCTTTTCTAATGGAATCTGCCTATAACCCTTCATCAGGTCAAGTGTTGAGAGATACCTGGCATTGCCAAATTGGTCTATTAACTCATCTATGTGTGGCACAGGATAACTACCAACCACAGCTATTTTATTTACTTGTCTCATATCTGCATATAGTCTAAGTTTCTCCTTTGGTTTGAGTGTTAGGGGAGCACTGTTCACTATATGATGTTTCTGTTATCCCCAATTCTAACATTTTCTCTATATCTTTTTGGAGAACAGCTAAGTTTTTCTGGGATTCTATATGGTCTCTGTCTGATAGGAGAGTTATTCCCTATGTCTATTCTATGTTCAATAAAATGTGTTGTTCCTGGTGTATCAGTAAATTAAACATATCTTTAAACTTTTTCACCAATTTTCTGAGATCCTCTTTCTGATTCTCATCTAACTCTGAGTTTATTTGACCTTGTATTAATTCTTCTACCTTCCCATTATTTGGTTGTTTCCTGACTAAAACTGTCTTGTTTCTTTGGGATACCATTTTCTTAAAATACAAGCATGATATATGTATCATATATATACATACACACACACACACATTTTCCTTAGCCCATGTCTACTTTAAAATCTACAGGCCCAGCCTGCTTTAAGATTTCATAAGGGCCCTTCTATTTAGCTTGAAGCTTACACTCTTAGTTGGGTAATAAGAGAAGAAGAAAAGAGCTCCTCTTTTCAATTCTTTTTTTCCTACTTTTTTATCAGACCATTGTGTTTGAAATTCTTGAGCTAACTTTAAATTTTCCTGATCTTACTGGGTCAGATTTGTTAATTTCTCTCTCTGTTCTAATATACATTCAACTACATTCTTAGGAAAAGAGCCATTTTGGTACATGAGAGCCAGTTTGGTGTAGTGGTTAAGGCATCAGGCTAGAAACTGGGAGATCGTGAGTTCTAGTCCCACCTTAGGCACGAAGCCAACTGGGTGGCCTTGAGCCAGTCACTTTCTCTCAGCCCTAGGAAGGAGGCAATGGCAAGCCACTTCCGAAAGACCTTGCCAAGAAAACTGCAGGGATAGCCCATGCAGTTACTAGGAGTCAAAAATGACTCAAAGGGTAACTTTGAACTGTATGATAGGTGACCTTGTGATATTCTAGAATAGAATTAAAGGCAAGAATATATATATAGATATATATATATATATAGAGAGAGAGAGATATTGCCATATATTAATCCACCTTTTATGACATCTAGAATATCACAAGGTTACCTACCAGTTCAAAGGGACTGAACCCTGTAGACACTTGGGGTACTTCTTTATAGGCAGATAACAAGTACAGTAGCGAAGTATCCCAGGATTTAGGATTTTGCCCAGTTTTAGCATTTATTTTAATGTCTGATTCATTCATTCAATTAATCCATTATTTTGAGGCTGATATGGGAAATAATCTCTTAAAACACACATACACAACCTAAAACTTTAATCTTTCTGAAAATTACAGGGATGTATTTTTTCTTTCCTCTACTTGGAATATGTTACTATCTTAGTACATATGAGGTACATTCAATAAGATCTTCCTTCTTGCATGAGACAAACAACATATAATTTAACATGTGTTTCTAACTTAAATTGTGTTAGAGAGATTGTTTTATATCTCTATAAATTATAGCTGCCTGTCCCCATGTAAAGGAACGAGTTCATTTTTTAAATATAATTGGTAAGAATCTCAGAGGTTTCTAGTTTAGGGATCCAAATGTAGTTTAGGGATACAAGTATGTGGGAAGAAAATAATGATCTAATTAAAAAGCAGCTTGATGGTTTACAGATGTTGATGTCTACAAAGGAATGTAATCCTA